CCTGTAGACGTAGTCTCCAGGGACAGACACCTTGTCCCTGATCTCCCACATCCAACAGGAGGAGCATACCACTCAGTTGACTGCCATTTTTGCCCCTTTAACAATTAGCGGATATTGATTTACCTAAAACACCCACACCTAGTTCAAATCGCAGCATCTGTACGTTGTTGTGGCTCCCATTGCACTGGTGCAACTTAATGCCTATCTTTTATGCTAAGTACAACCTTTTAAAAAGTCTACCTTTCCCTTACCCTCAGTTTTAGATTTTAAGTTTGCAAAAAAAAGGTTACATTGTTAAATTCCAACAATTTAGCTCAACACCAAGCACTTTTGAAAACTTCTGCCGATCAGGATCGAAACTGAAATGCCCTCCTCCTCATATCTGCTATGGGCAGCGATTCTCGGAACTCAGTCTGCCCTCTCCAGCTCTGAGTGATGGTGTGCTGGTCCCTCTGCCTCCTGGCTTCAACCTTTCAAAGACAGTTCTGGGAACCCTCTGTGATTCCATTTCCTCTGCTGCTTCCTGAGTGTGCCCTAGCCAGAGCCCTCGACAACTGTTTGGAATGCTAGTCACAGGCCTTACTCCCAAACTCCGTCTCTCCCTGGCTCTCCTTCCTCCTGATTTGATTTAAGTTTTTAATTTTTTTTGGCCTTTAAGTTCCAAATGCAATAAAAACAATCCTAAGTAAGATATTTTCTGCTGTAGAAGAGAGGGGCAATCTATTGAAAGACCTCCCACTCAGGAGCAGTCCTAAGGATCACACTACTCTCCTGCCATTTTTAGATAAGCCATGATATCATTGGTGGAACATTGATGTAATGTACTGAATGGCCTACTTCTGCTCTTGCGTCTAATCCTCTGTATCTTTTAACAGCTACTTGCAACTCCATGGTTAAGAATAGAGACAGGAAAACCTAAGCAGGTCTGGCATTTTTGAAGGGTCATAATGGACTCAATGTTAACTCTTCATTCTCTGCTACCTGAGCTGAGGTTTTTCAGCACTTGCTGTTTTTTGTATCAGACTTCCAGCATCTGCAGTGATTGGAGCATTTACAGGGACTAGGGATGGAAGAAATCCAGTGCTCTTAAAACACATGCAGTTTGGAAAGTTTGTTACCAGAGATGAATTGGCAAGAGAAATACTTCCTATTTCCACAATGGACATTTATATTAGTCTGTTTGAAAGCAGAAAGTGACCTGAACATACTTGTGGTGTATTAAGTTTTGAAGGAAGTATTGACGAAGCTGCCACGTATTTATAAATTTTCAATTTTGATTTAGATTTTTGAAGTTCATCCTCTGTCCCTTTTTAATAGGGTTAATAATTGAATTCGGAATGAGCGAGATAAATGCCACTGGAGTAGTCACTGATAACTATTATCATTTCACAAAAATAGAAATACAGAACTGAAAGTAGCAAAGAAATAAGTGTCTATTAGCAAATTGAGAAAATAGTTTTGGTTATTGTATATTTTAGTCTTCAGTTTTATTTGACAAATTGGATAACTTCAGAGGAAAAATGCCACATGCACGCATGTTAAATTTAATCCTATGACATTTGCTATGAAATGTAAGCTTTCTTTTTAGCTCCTGTAAAAGTAGCCTTTTACAGGAAACGTTACATTTGATTATAAGTTCTTTATTGGTAATTGCATGGTGCATTTATTTATAGGCATATGCAGGGAATAAAATCTTCACAATTCAAGACCGGTGCCAGGAGGTGTATGAGATTCCTGAAAAGACTTAGTATTCGGTCAGGAAATATAAAATTAATAGCATCGGCTGCCTGAGTTCAAAGATGAAACCAAATTCCACTGTTTACTCAACATGGAGAAGAATTTGTATTGATTGGCCTGCATTAGAAATATAGATGAAACAGTAAACTTTAACATGCAGCAACAAAATCTTGTTTGATTTGATTTTAATTTGAAAAATCCTTGTAAAGGTGACTGGCAACTGGCCTCAAAGATGTGGTTTATAGTGGTTGATCTTATATGGTGGATGCCACAAAATCTACAGCCAATGGTGATATTCAAGTGTAAAGTTTCTCTGAAAGGAAAATTTCATAAAGCTATTAATTCCCATGTTAGCTAGAAATGCTGAATGCACAATTGACATTTTATGAAATTAGTCAAAAGTGGGGAATTTGAGACCGGGAGGACTGTATGCAGAGAAGTTTGATCATCTCTTGTGTTCAAATCTCATTTTTAACAGTGTAATCTGTGATACGAAATCAACCTGTGCTGACTTGGCAGCAATTCCTGGCAGTTTTACAAGTATTTTTAAGCCCTTTTTTGTATTGACAAATAAATACCCCTCAAACATATAATTCAGCAAGTGTGGAACAATTGGTCACTGAATAAAATGTTCACTAAAGGTAGAAAATTAGTATTTTTGTTAGCAACATTGTAACAATGGGCATAGATGCAGGGAATGAGCTTGATCCCAATATTATCAAAAATAAATTCTAAGGTATGAAATACTGAACATGCTTGACTTCTTTAAATATTCATTCACGGGATGTCACAGTGTCACTGGCTAGGTCAGCATTTATTGCCCATCCCTAATTGCCTAGAGGATAGTTAAGAGTCAACCACATTGCTGTGGCTCTGGAGTCACATGTAGACCAGATCAGCTAAAGATGTCATTTCCTTCTCTAAAGGATATTAGTGAACCAGATAGGTTTTTCCAACAATCGGCAAATTGTTTTGTGGTTGTCATTAGACCCTTAATTCCAGATTGTACTATTGAATTCAGATTCCACCATCTGCCGTGCTGGAATTTGAACCTGGGTCCCCAGAACATTAGCTGAGTTTGTGGATTGATGCTCTAGTGATAATACCATTTGGCCTTTGCCTCCCCCACTGTGCTAAGGATGATGTTGTTGCTGCTGAAGCTACCAGTAGTAACAATGAAGATGATTTCAGATTTTATCATCCCAATAAATTTGCAGTATTTTGTTCAAATTTTAAGACGTAGCCTATGATCAGTTTTGCTTTGTATGGTTTGCTTAACATTGCAAACAATAAAAACAAAGTTTGTAATGTTTAGTGATATCAGTTTTTTTACTTTATTCCGTTGCAACAGAATTATTTTGAGGGCCAATTTAAGCTACTAAATTATCTCAAACATTATCCATGTAGAAGTTAACTTTCTGACTTTTGACTAAAAATGAGTTGGAATCAAATTCAACTTCTACATATACGCTAAGTATAAACTCCATAATTGTGCATGAATCATGGAAAAAGTAGTCAAGATTTTCTTTTTCTGCTTTTGATTCTGCTAGATTAAACAAGCTGTCATTGTTGTGTTGCTATTCCGTCTGAGGATGCTCTCATTTATTCTGTTCCTGAGTTAAACTGTTACAGATCCAAATGAGTGTTATAGCCTGCTGAAAGGACAGTGTTATGCATTTAGCTGCAGCTGAAATGTTTTACCTTTTCAACATAGGCTTAAAATGCTCGTGTGCAGAACAGTTTTTATTAAAGATGCTGTGCTAGCTGTTGGGAGCGTTATTTATGGTCGTGTATCACCTCCCTTTTGTTTTCCATTGTGCTTGCATCTTCCGCTGCAGTCATATTGTTATCCTGCTCTACCTTGCCAGCTATTGCCAAGTTGGCTGGCTTGGTGTGTCATGGGAAAATGGTTTCACCATTAGATTACAAGGTGTAGAGCTGGATGAACACAGCAGGCCAAGCAGCATCAGAGGAGCAGGAAGGCTGACGTTTCGGGCCTACACCCGAAATTAAATTAAAACATTAAAACAAAAATTAAACAATATTGACAGACCACCATTTCATATCCAGTGTGGTCAGCTTTTTTTGGTCATTTCTGTTTTACATGCTTGTGAAATATCTAATATGCGTTGTACTTTGCATTAGCCAGTTTTGCAGAACATTAAATAGATTTTAATTTGACTTTTGAGGGCAATCTGTATTCTGCTCTGGACAATAGCTACACTATATCTGTAGCAAATATAATCTCTGTCAACATATACTTCTATTCTGTGTTTAAAACAAAACAATACAAATAATAATTCAAGCTCCAAGGGTGTTCTGGGTAATCTATTTGCCTTTGTGTGTGCCAATCATGGCAGATATAAACCGAAACAAAGCCAGCTTGAGAAATATCTTCATAGTTCAACATTCTTGAAATGGTAACCTCATAGCCTTCATAATGCTGAATTTTTATCAAGCCTGTTGCAAAAGGTCACTGATAGTGACTGGAAGAAGGATTTGCTCAGTTATGCGCTGCTGTTATTAAAAATCTGACTGCCTCTACTTGACATTCAATGACATTGCAATTGCCAAGTTTCTCACCATTAACCAAAGCATAATTGCACCAGCTGCACTGTTGTGAGTAGATCATGAACGGGGTATTATGTAGAAAGTAGCTTGCCTGACTCCCTGACTCCCCAGAGCCTTTTCTACCATCTCCAGCCCACTTGATTGTCATTGCTTCCAAAAGAAGTGACAGCAATGGGCATCATCCACATGATGCACTGCAGTAGCTCACGAAGGCTTTATCAACAGCACCTTCTCTGCGTGATCTCCCTTTTGAAGGGTAAAGGTAGCAATTTTATATGAATACCACCGAACTTCCCCTCCAAGTCCTACCGTTCTGACTTGGAAATTGACGTCCCTTCAGTATTGCTGACTCAAATTCTTGGAATTCCCTTGTAACGGCCATGTGAACAGTCACCCCTCAAACTGTAGCAGGCGCATATCACCATTGCTTGTTGGCAGTTGGGAACGGGCAATTGCTGGCAAATCCACATCCCATGTACCAGTGATTTCAATGTCTTTCTTTCAGTTGTGATTATTTGTTCAAATTTGTGAAATTGTAATGCTTGAATAAGCATGCTTCACTCATTGAAGGAGTTTGATTTAAATGTGTTTGGAGATCTTTCAATAAATATAATGCTCCAACATGAAATCTTGTTATACATAGTAAGTGCCATTGTTGTATGGTTTGACATTTATACTATTTCGGTCCACAGCCCTGCTGCAAATCAAGGATCTCTGCAGCTCCAAACACAAAAACATTATGGCATTACATCTCCAATTAGTTTGGCTTCGCCAAAAGAAAATGATTTTGTGCTTACTCAGAAACTCATTGAAGCATTGAAACCTTTTGGAGTCTTTGAAGAAGAAGAGGAGCTGCAGCACAGGTAAATTTTTGCAAGATTCAGCTCTGATAGGGAAGCTTTCAGTCTTACAGTTTGAAATAGTGTTTGTTTTCCCAGCAACCCTGACTTTCAGTTAAGTTTTCATTTATTTGATTGGCTGCTTTAACCAGTCAATTTTATTTCTTGCACTCACGTCTGGGAAAGGATGTGACTCCCTTCTCCTAGAAACAGGCTAGTTCTCTACTCTCTTGATCATAATTTTGTCATCCCCACGTGAAATGCAATGCCTTGTTTGGTTTGAAGATTGTGGGAGTTCTTGCCTCCGATTTTAAAATTTGTTGATTGTTCAACTTAGTGCTCAGATCTTCCATTCTCCTGTAGCATCGCACTGTCTAAATGTTTCAGAGAACATCTAATCTGACTTATTTATTCATGTATATTGTACCCTCTCCCAGTTATGCTCTTCCAGATTTAAATGATGAGAATGCTTGAGATATCTATTCCCTCCAGCATCAATGTACTGTGACTGTAGCATATGCTATACATGCAAAAGAAGTAGGCATTTAGCCCCTCACATTTTGCACTTTGTTAATGAGATTGTGGCTACGCTGTGACCTAATTATTTTCCCCACTACTTTTGGTGATCAAAGCTATCAATCTTAGTTTTAAAACCAGCAATTGATCTGGAGTGAATTGCCTTTTGAAACCTCTGAATGATCTGGCTGTAACTTTTAGACTCTATTCTACAGTTCTGGAGTCCCAGATATTAGGAATAGTGTTTTTTTCTGTCTGCCTAGCTTTTCCTCTTTAATATCTTCAAAGCTTCAATCAAAAACCATGTCAACAAATTTGCCAATTATAAAGACCTTGGGTAAGTAGAATTGTAAAATTTAAGAAGTCATTAATAGGGTAAGCATATAGGCAAATGTGTGGTACTTAAATTTCAGTCAGCCAATGTAAGATCATTGACTTTGGATCTAAAAGGACAGAACAAAGTACTTTGTAAATGGTGAAATGCTGGAACAGTGAAAATCCAGATGCGCAAACCGTTAAATATAATCAACAAAACATAGAATGTTCAAGTAGATTTTAATGGAATATTGATTCTTCTAAATTCCAAGTTATAAAATCAGAGTTTGCATAATCTCTTGTTCTTTAACTCTTAAAGTCCAGGTATAATTTGAACTGTTGTAATTTGTGAGGGCGGCTTATCACCATCTTTGCAAGAGCAATTGGAAATGGACAACTAATGCTGGTCTTGCAATAGTGCTGATATCAAACTAAAGGATTTTTTTAAAAAAAAAAAAAAAAAAAAAAAAAAATTCTCGTGTTTAATCACTGTCCTATCCAAGGCAAGTATACCTCTGCTGAAGTATGATGCTTAACTACTGACACTGCAGGTGTGGTCTTAATAGGATTTTATATTGATGTAGCTTGACCTATTTTAATCCTCTAGTGTTAGAGTAATATTCCTCCAGATAGAAAGTTCAGTAGCCTTTTTGTTTTCCTTCCTGTTCACGTTAGTTAATGCTCTGTACATGCAAGCTTCCACTGCTTTTGTTTTTAATATTTAGAAGGTGCTCTGTTTTGCCATTTTACCACACTTTTAATCTATTATTTGTACTGCCTTTTGCACCTGAGCCCTGAAGCATCTTGCCATGTCTTGAAATCAATAAATTCCCAAGTAGCGGGTGCATAGGATCACCACCTCCAGTTCAAGCAATGTCCTGATTTGGACATGTGTAACTGTTCCTTCTTTGCTGGGTCAAAATACTGGAGTAGACAATGGGAATACATTCTCAATTGAGATAATGGTACACCAATACTTGGGGCACAGTGGCTCAGTGGTTGGCGCTGCTGCCTCGTAGCACCAGGGATCCAGGTTAGATTCCAGCTTTGGATCATAGAGGCCATGTTCCCCTGGTGTCTGCATGGGTTTCCTCCCAGTCCAAAGAGTGCAGCTTAGGTGGATTGGCTATGCTGAAATTTTGTCCAGTGTTCAGGGATGTGTAAGTTAAGTGGATTTAGTGAGGTTACAGGATATGTTGGGGGAAGCTAAGTCTAGGTGGGGATGCTCTTCGGAGGGTCAGTACAGACTAGATGGGCTGGTTGGCCTCCTTTTGTACTGTCAGGATTCAGTGATTCCATGAACACTTCCTTTTAGGCAACAAGGGATGGGCAAGTTTCAGCTTACTGGCACCTGTGTTTTGAGGGAATCTTTTATATTAAAAAAAAAAAAAAATCCAGGTGAATAATTGCTTTCACTCTTGAACTTTTCTCCCCTCTGATTTGCCAGTGCCAAAACATCTTTAGATCAATCTGTCGTATTGATTTCAAATCCTAGATGGATTGTACTGGTGGTTGCTTTTTCAAAGATCACGCGTTTGACTGCCTTAATCTTTTCTTAAATTCTCAGTCTCGTGTTCTGCTTTGTGAAAGTTATGCAATTAAATTTGTACATATTGTAGTAATGAGAGGATGTTGGTTCAAATTGCTACAACTTGGGAAGAATGTGCATGTTCCAGCGAGAGTTTATATCAAAAGGTGGTTGTAGTGGTGAGGGGATCAAAAGTTACAGCACGGGCAGGAGAATGGGGTTGAGAAAGTTACAAGGGGTGGTACGGTGGCTCAGTGGTTAGCACTGCTGCCTCACAGCACCAGGGACCCAAGTTTGATCCCACCCTCTGGCGACTGCCTGTGTGGAGTTTGCACATTCTCCCCGTGTCTGCATGGGTTTCCTCCAGGCAGTCTGGTTTCCTCCCACAGTCCAAAGATGTGCAGCTTGGTGGATTGGCCATGCCAAATTGTCTGTAGTGTTCAGGGATGTGTAGCTTAGGTGGGTTATAGGAGGATGGATCAGGGTGGGATGCTCCAAGGCTTGGTGTGGACTTGTTGGGCTGAAGGGCCTGTTTCCACACTGTAGGGATTCTATGATTCTATGAGAAACACATTAGCCGTGATCGAATGGCAGAGCTGACTCTGGGCTGAATGACCTAATTCTGCTGTAACTTGTGGTCCGTGGTCCATGGCCTGTGAATCTGTAGATATCCATAATTTTGAGTCCATCCAGTATGGACTCTGTCCTTATTACTTGTCGACTTAAAATTGATTTGGAGCACTGACTTTATCTTTGTGATACGATTTGTGAATAAAACTAAGTTGTGACTGAAGGAAGCCTTGTTGCAAATACTGATATCAGTGTGCATGAAAAGTTGACTGATATTGTTTGTGACTCTTCAGCATTTATTTTAAGTTAAATTTGGGTAGGCCACAGAATAGTTGCACTTGTAATAAGTTTTAAATACTACTAAGTAAAAAAAAATAGTGAATGGAGAAGTAATCTCTTTTTTTAATAAAAAAAAAAATAGAGATTGTTGAAATACAATGTGAATTTTAATTGCCTCCTTATCTTGCAGAATTGCAATTCTGGGAAAACTTAATAGCTTAGTTAAAGAGTGGATCCGGGATACCAGTGAAATTAAGGTAAGGGCAGTGATTAATTGGGGTTTGTTTTGTTCGGTATGGCATGATATCAGCTACCACTTGGAACAAACATTTTGAATGAGACTTATTAGAATGAAGGCTGTAACCATGTTTTGGAAAATAGCTGCTTGTGTTAATCAAGTGGAAAAGGTTGGTAATCCTTCCCGAGAAATTAGAAATCATACATGAGGATTGAGCAAACTGCAGGACATTTAAATTTATGTAACTGCAAGAATATTTAAAGCATATCTTAAATACGTGCAGTAGATTTGAGGATTCACAGGTAAGGAAACTAAATTAGACTTTACTTCTGTAATGTACTACAGATTAGGAAGTAAATATGCAAATAAGTATAAGCTGTCTTGAACCTATAAAATGTACTGAGATAGCATCAACCTGTGAGCTGACATTTGGAATACTGAATAAATCTAGCTTTGCTGATTAGGAAAACATTTACATACATTCAGCGTAATAAATTTTCTCAAATGGTAACAAACTTGGGCACTGCATCATCAAGGATTTGAGCAGCATAACTTTGCTGGTATTCTAGTACTCTGCTGCATTATCTGATAAGAGGTCAACTTGACACCCAGTCTTCCTGCTCAAATGGATTTAACATGCCAATAGCAATAATTGAAAAGCTGTGCGGTCTTCTGATATCCTTTAAGGTTGCATCACCTTGAATCGGCTGATTCATTCACTGTTCTTATGGGAGCCCCTTGATCTGTATAGCAGCAGTTAGCTGGCTTCAGACATTGTGAAGTATTTTGTGACATCATTAAGGACCTATTGAGGTACTGTAGATAGCAAGATCAATTTATCCTTTGTTGAACATGTGAATACTGATGGCAGGTTTTACTTTTACTTTTTTTCCAGAACCTTCCATCGTCTGTAATAGAGAACGTTGGTGGGAAAATTTTTACATTTGGTTCCTACAGATTAGGGGTACATACAAAAGGTATGTTGTATATATTAATGTTGTCATTGCGCACCTGTAGGTGCATAATTTTACAAATAGAGAATTTTTTTAGCTGCAGGTTGCTGTTACCACACTGGCATGAATGCATTGGAGGAAACTTGACTGATTTGATTTATTGTCATGTGTACCTAAGTACATTTGTGAGCAGTGCAGGCAGATTGTAGTAAGCAAGGATATACAGATTAAAGGGTGGGAAAAAAAAACTTGAACAGAGTAAGGCAAGCAGGTTACACCGCACAGGCCGTGTGCTAGGCAGGATCAACATTAACAGGAAAGAACATTATTAGTAATTTTTACAGGTTTAGAATTCAAGTTTTTAAGTGTAGAACACTTAAAAGAAATGAGAGTCAGATCTGCTGTAGGGAGCTTGCAAGGAGCTGCCTAGTATTGGCACCATCTTGAGTCCTTTTAGCAGACTTCGCTACTGTTGATCCACCAATATTAGCTAAAGCTCCAGCCTTTAATGACTTTGTCTCTAGGTATCACAGTTCATTTATGCATTTTTTAAAATGTGGAAATAGGAGGTCCAAGAGAGGGAGCAAGAATCTAGTTTTGGATTAAGTGGAATAATATTTAATTTAAAGGAATAATGTTTGAAACCTAGCTGATTGGTCGGAATCATCGTGCAAATTCATTCAATCTGGTTTTCAGCTCCGCTTGTCCACTGAGAATTCCAATTCCTCCTCTTAAAGATTGGAAAATTTGCTTCCATAGGTGCACTTAGACAAATGAGGAAGCAGGATTTTGAATGAAATGAAAAATACATTCTTGACTTGGTAAATTTTGAAAACTTAAGTTTGCTCCTAAGTCATGGGGTAGTGAAGAGTGTAGTAAATGGACCAACTTACTAGAATAGCAAGATACTTGGCTTAGACAGCAACTGTGGAAAGAATTAAACAGAGCTAAATGTTTCAGATTCTAGACCTTTTTGATAAGAGCTAGAGCAAGTTAATGTAACTGATCGTAAGCAAGTGAGGAAGAAAAACAGAAGGGAAATTCAGTGTATAGTGGAAAGTATGATTGATTAAATGACAATGAGTACCCTGTATAGAATAGATGTAGAGTAACAGGCCATGGAGCCAAAAAGTGAATGAAGCAGAGCTTTTAGATTGTTGACCAGTAATAAAAGAGAACGGTTCAGCTTTTTACTGCTTAAGATTTTTATTTGCATATGAAGTGATTTTATTTTTAGTGTAGGGTTGGGAGCACTATGGGTGGTCTTTGCAAACAGAAGCTGTAAATTTTTTAAGGGTTTTCCTGAATTTTTGTTATTAAATCTGATGCTTTAATAATTTACATCAGGCTTTTTTCATCCTACAAAAGAGGTGATTGCTTTGAGATGGTGAATTGCCTTCTGAAATAGCAACACTCTAGTGTAAGTACGTCCATTATTTTCATGGAGGAGCCTTCGTGTTTTTGACCCTATGACAATGAATTAATAGTATGTTCTAAGTCATGTAGTGGATAAAGTAGAGGACCACCTCCAGGTGGTGCTGTTTCCCAAGCATCTGCTCTTGCCCTTCGATGTGAATTTGGAAGCTATTGTTAAAGGAACCATCGCAAGTTGGTTGTAGATGGCATGCATTGCTGCCATTTCTCTAATGACAGAGTGGGTGTATATCACCAACTCCATAGAGAAAAATAACACAAAATCAGGATTCCAGCTTCCAGTTACTGATCCAAAGAATGACACAGACTGGTCGAAAGAATGACAGTAAGATTTCACACTTTAAAACTTCAAACTTTTACTGTAGTAAATAACTAAAAGCACTGTTGACTAAATACTGCTTCATTCTTGTAGGCACCTGCTGCTTTAAAGCACAGTGAGGGCAATTTGCCTTTTTACACGCATGGAATTGAAGTCTTTTTGGAGGCAGTTCATGGTTTTCCCAGTTTTCAGTGATTCTTGTATCCCATTTAATCAATAAATAATTTTGAACAGATGTTTCCAGTTGCTTTATCTCCTTTTTTTTGTAAAGTTTCTTACTTGGGTGCAAGCAGTGGATTTCTTTTCAGATGATTCTTTCCCCTGGCCATAAGATAAATCTCAGAATCCTTGGATGGCTGCAGGATGCATTTCTTTCAACTAGATAATGTCTTTTCCCACATTTGACAGTAGTAACTTGTAAAGCCAAGCAGCCTTTTACTCTCTGACAGAACCTTTGCCATCTGATATGTATTGATTTGGAGACAATTGTCACCTAATCTCAAAAATAGTTTCCTCTGTTCTCTTTTTATTACATTCAGAAATGCTTATGCTATTCTTGAACCCAGAGACCTATTGCTGTTATAAGTGAGTGGACAGTTTACAGTATGACTGTTTACAACCTTTACCTTTACCTTTCTGGGTCTTTGGGAGACATACTGTACTCATTGTGAACTCAGACTGCAGCCATTGTCTTTAAGTATAAATTTCTTGCTCCTCTCGTCAGTAAAGTAATCTTTAGTCTTCAATCAAACTATCCAGGCATACTGTGAGATCTAGAGCTGGTTGTCGAACCCCCACCTTTTACTCAAAACTTAAAGCTGCAGATTCAAAATATTCTAATCTTAACCCCACAATTCTAACAGTGCTTTATTGAAACGGTGCCTATCAGTAGATTGCTTGAATGATTTCTGAGCATTGTTGGAGCTGCACTCATCCAGGCAAGTGGAGAATGTTATATCTCACTTTTACCTTATTAATAATAAACAGGCTTTGAGGAGTCGAGATTTAAATTGCTCACTGTAGGATTCACAGCATTTGACCTGTTCTTGTAGCCAAAATATTTGTAAGACTGGTCCAGTTATATGTCCTGTCAATTATAACCATTAGTATGTTGTTGGTGAGGGATTCTGTGATAATGCCAAGGAAGTTGGCTAGCGTTTGTGACATGAATGTTTGTTGCTAGTTTCAGCCTAAGCCTGAATGTTGACCAGAATTTTGCAGCACACCGGCATGAATTAGTTCATTATTTGAGATGTTGAGAGTACCTGAACGCTGCAAATATTTGACAAGACCTCACTCCGACCTTGATGGGAGCATAAGTTCATTGATGAACTGGTTGAATGTGGTTGACCCTAGGGCACTACCTTGCACTGCCCCTTTAGTGATGTCTCACAACAGCCACATCCTTTTTATGCTAGGTTTGACTCCAACCAGTGCACAGTTTCCCCCTTGATTCTCATTAATTTTGCTAGGACTCCTTGATGCTATACACTGTCAAATACTGCATTGGACAACAACTAAATTCCTTTGATACCATGAGATAACAAGGTGTAGAGCTGGATGAACACAGCAGGCCAAGCAGCATCAGAGGAGCAGGAAGGCTGACGTTTCGGGCCTAGACCCTGCAGTTCCTATTATCTCCTTTTGATACCATGTTTGGATCAAGGTTGTAATGAGACAGTGCTAAATAGTGGTGAACAAGTGCAGTCTGAATATCACTGTGTCTTGTCATTTGATGGCACTATTAATATTTTTCATCTTGCAAATGATTGAATAAATTGCTGGAACAGCAAATGGTCAAATTGGATTTGTCTTGTACTTTTGACTGACAATACCAAAGCACTTAGTTTGGCAGGAGGATACAGATATACCTGGCATACTGAAGCGAGTTTGGAAAGGATGTAATCTCAATCTGTAGCATGCCCTCAGTACTACAACTGGGATGTTATCAGAACCCCTAGCCTATGTACCCATTGACCTTTGACCATTCCCTGGTGTCACATGGAACGAATCAGGTTGTTTGAAGACACTTGAAATATCACTGGCAATATCTCTCTAGAATCCTGCAAACCCAGTGGCAGGATGGGTGCTCTAATGTCAGTATGCGCTCAAGCCAACAATGTAAGCATGAGTCATTGTTACAGTCATACAGTTGAGTTAGACAGGCTACATCATCCACATGCAACATGACTCCCAAAACACACTCTGAGCTTTGACAGGATCTGGTTACCAAGAGTGCAGTGAATATGGTTGTAAGACATCCTCAAAGCCTCCCTGGGAGAAAAGAAATAGCATCCCAACACACCATGCAAATCCCTTGCCCAAGACTACCCAAACTGGAGTGGAAACATCTAAAGTTGCCAACCATCTTGAGTATCTCAAGTGCTCAGGTCATGGCTAAACATAAATCACAAAAGAAACGTGTGAAAACATAAATGTACTACACACCTCGTCAAACTTTACCTGCCTATTTGTGGCAGTGTGGGCTGATCCAGTATTGATAACAGTTTGGAGCTGGAGGAACACAGGCAGCATCAGAGGAGCAGGAAAGCTGATGTTTCAGGTCCAGACTCTTTCTCTGAAGAAGGGTCCTGATCCGAAACGTCAGCTTTCCTGCTCCTCAGATGCTGCCTGGCCTGCTGTGTTCCTCCAGCTCCACACTGTGTTTATCTCTGACTCCAACGTCGGCAGTTCTTACTATCTCTGATCCAGCATTGAACTCTTTAGTCAACTCGGGGCATGTGACACAATGAAGAAGGCATCAACGTCAACAAAGATCCAATAACAAAACACCTACGAAGTACCAATGGAATTCAACTGAAGTTGATGTGGATTTATGAAATGGATATCACATTTAGAACAGAGATTTTTGATGATGTACCGAGTAGAATTTTTTTTTTAAATCATTAGTTGTGGTATATTTGGATTTTCAGAAAGCTTTGGAGTTCCACAAAGGTTTGTGTTTAGAATTTGAGCATGGGAATAGGGTAATATAATTGCATGATTAGAGAATTGGTTAGCAGATAGGAAACAGTAGGAATAAACTGATTCCTGATGAAGTTGGTTGGCTCGCCGAGCTGGTTTGTTGTTTCGCAGATGTTTTGTTACCATGCTTGGTAACATCCTCGGTGCAGCCTCCGATGAAGCGTCGGTGTGTTTTCCCGCCTGGTTTTTAAACTCTGGGGTCCGTTGCGATGGATTGCCTCACTTCCGGGTTTCCTCCGTAGTGGGGTCAATTTCAATGTGTTTATTAATAGCATGCTTCGTGGAGTGCCATGCTTCCAGGAATTCTCGTGCTTGTCTCTGCCTAGCCTGTCCCAGGATCTTGGTGTTGTCCCAGTTGAAGTGGTGGTTTTCCTTGTCCACGTTGATTGAGATGAGTGAGTATTGGTCGTGTCTTTTTGTAGCCAGTTGGTGTTCATGTAGAGATAACAAGGTGTAGAGCTGGATGAACACAGCAGGCCAAGCAGCATCAGGGGAGCAGGAAGGCTGATGTTTCGGGCCTAGACCCTTCTTCAGAAATGTACTCTTGTTGTTAGTTTCCTTCCTGTTTGTCTGATTGTAGTGTTTCTCGCAGTCTCTGCAGGGGATCTTGTAGATCTTGGTCCTGTTCATGGCGGGGAGTGGGTCTTTAGTTCGGGTGAGCAGTTGTCATAGGGTTGACGTGGGCTTGTGTGCCACTCTGATGCCCAGCGGTCGTAGGAGTCTTGTGGTGAGTTCCAACGTGTTCCTGATGTAGGGTAGTGTGATGTGTGTCGGGGCGTGTAGTATCTTTCTGATGCTGTTCGTGTAGGCATCTTCTGACCCAGTTGTTTGGATATCCATTATCCTTGAAAACCTGGAAGAGGTATTCTTCTTCCTCTTGGTCTGGTTCTGTGTTGCTGCAGTGTGTTGTTGCCCTTTTTTCTTTTGCAGCAACACAGAACCACGCCAAGAGGAAGAAGGATACCTCTTCTAGGTTTTCAAGGATAAAGGATAGCCAAAGAACTGGCTCAGAAGATGCCTACACGAACAGCATCAGAAAGATACTACACGCCCCTACATCGGGAACACGTCAGAACTCACCACAAGACTCCTATGACTGCTGGGCATCAGAGTGGCACCCAAGCCCATGTCAACCCTACGACAACTCACCCGAACTAAAGACCCACTCCCCACCATGGACGGGACCAACGTCATCTACAAGATCCCCTGCAGAGACTGCGAGAAACGCTACATCGGACAAACAGGAAGGAAGCTAACAACAAGAGTACATGAACACCAACTGGCTACAAAAAGACACGACCAATACTCACTCATCTCAATCAACGTGGACAAGGAAAACCACCACTTCAACTGGGACAACACCAAGATCCTGGGACAGGCTAGGCAGAGACAAGCACGAGAATTCCTGGAAGCATGGCACTCCACGAAGCATGCTATTAATAAACACATTGAAATTGACCCCATATACATTCCACTACGGAGGAAACCCGGAAGTGAGGCAATCCATCTCAATGGACCCCGGAGTTTAAAAACCAGGTGGGAAAACACACCGACGCTTCATTGGAGGCTACACTGAGGATGTTGCCAAGCATGGTAATGAAACGTCTGCGAAACCAGAAACCAGCTCGGCGAGCCAACCAACCTCAACGCCCACAACCTGAGCTACAAATCTACTCCAAAACCTTGGAAACTGATTCTTTTTGGAGTGTAAAGCATTGACAGGGTACCAGAGCAATCAGTGTTTGGTCCCTATCTATTTACAATAAAAAATAAGTAATTTCTGTGAGGGAATCCATATATTGTTTCCATGTTTATGGTTGATAGCTAGGAAGAATTTGGCGGCAAGGATATAGAGGTTTCAAGGCAATCCAGACATGGGGAGGCAATGGCCTAGTGGTATTATCACTAGTCAGCTAATCCAGAAACTCGGTTAATGTTCTGGGGGCTCGGGTTCAAATTGTGCATGGCAAAAAAGAATCTGACATGGAGTCCTAGTGATTGTTGGAAAAACCCATCTGATTCATTAATGTCCTTTTAGGGAGGAAGTCTGTTATGCTTACCTGATCTGGCCTACATATGACTCCAGACCCACAACAATGTGGTTGAGTTTTAACTACTCACTGGGCAATTAGGAATGAACAATAAATTCTGGCCTAACTAGAGATGCCCACATCCTGTATGCTTTCTTTAAAAAAAAAAAAAAAAAAAAAAAAAATGGTTGAACGGGTGGGTAAATGAGCAATGCAATATAACATGGACAAGTCTGAAGTTATCTGCTTTGGTAGAGAAAAAGAATGACAGTTTTATTTGCAACTGTTGATGTACAAAGGGACTTGGGTGTCCTTGAGCACCAGGCACCAAAAGAAAGCAAGCAAGCAAGCACAACAAGCAGTTAGGAAGGAAATTGTCATGTTTGCTTTCATTGTTAGAGAATCTGAGCGCAGGACGTCTTGTTGCAGCTGAGGTGAGGCCACATTTGAGGTATTGAGTGCAGTTTTGGTTGTTTAGCTAAAATGATATGCTTGCCAGAGAGAGTGTAGCAAAGGTTCAGATGATTTCTTGGCGTGACAGGTTTGTCATATTGAGAGATTGAACCTTCGTTCCCTAGACTTTAAAAGAATTAGACTGGGGTTGGGGATCTTACTGAAACATATAAAGTTCTGACAGGCTAGACAGCCTGAATGCAGGGAAAATGTTCCATCTGGTTGGGAGTAATCTTTGGATGCTGTGCAGACCATTCAGAACTGATATGTGAATCTTCTTACTGAAGGTAAACAGATGGTGGTGAAGATCAAGTTATTGAACATATTTAAGAAAAAAAGACTTCAAGGCACTAAAGGCATAATGGGGTCTGGAGAGAGAGAAGGGGTTGAGATGGTGGATCAACCATGATTATAGTGAATGGTGAATCAGGTTCCATGGGCCAACTAGCTTAATCTTGCTCCTATTTTCTTTGCTAGTCCCTCGGATAGCAAAGAAGAATCCTGTTTAAATATTAAAAAGCCTTGATATATCAAGATTGTTGTCCCAACCTGTTTGGAAACACTTTATAGATAATGTTTTAATATTTTGTAAATACTGGGATACTAAAGCCTTGTCTGCGTTGTTAGCTGAGCTCAGCTGTCGGAATAATTAAATAAAATTGACTCTGCTATGCAGAGAAGGCAGTTGGTCCTAATTTGTGAATCTGACTACTTATCTTGAACTACAAGTTTGTCACTAATACTGGATGCAACTGTGGTGCCTCTTGGACTTGAATGCTTACTGGAGGGCTTCATGTGCTGGTGGCCCCATGTAGTCCTTACGTAGACCTTCAGAGATGTGTAGAGAAAGGGTGATTCCTTGGGTAAAGAATTGTGATCAGTAAATGTAATAATTTGAGGTAGATGTTGGAGAAGGTAAACTATATGCATGATAAAGCAGAATCTTTTCTTAGGTGCTGATATTGATGCTCTGTGTGTTGCACCTCGCCACATTGAAAGAGTTGACTTCTTCACGTCCTTTTGCGAAAAGCTGAAGCAGCAAGATGAAGTGAGGAATTTACGGGTATGTATGGAAAATATTGTACTTGCATGTGTACAGTTTTTTGCATTTATGTAGTGTATTGACTTCTGTCTGTCTTTTATTTTGCAGGCTGTTGAAGATGCTTTTGTACCAGTAATTAAACTATCTTTTGATGGTATAGAGGTATTTTTTTTCTCAAGTTCTAACTGGTTCACGTTATTTTTCAGTTAAGTCTGTAACTACTTGTACATTAAAATTTTGTCTTGTACTACTTGCATGGTGAAATGAATTGAATCAAATAGTGATCATTAGTTAATGTGATTCTGCAATGACTGAAATCTTCTGGTCAGCATCGAAGCCCCTCTTTCTGATGCTGATGAGACAAAACATTACTCAGTTGCTGCCACCTTTTTATTTGGCCAGCCTTCCAATGAAGGATTCTTCATAATTCCTTCAAAAATGCTGTGCCCTTTTTTATTTTTTAACAGCACTAGCTGCAATGAAATGGTAAGTAACAATTTAAACGTTGCAACTTTGTGTTAATGAATGGCCCAGTGGGTAGGGTGGCCGTTTCCTGGACTGTTGAGGTCAGATCTTTGGATGGTGCGCAGGTGTTTGCGGGTGGGTGGTTAAGCTGTAAACTTGCCCAGGAGCTTGATATGGTTTTACTGTGACATTCATATGTAAGTCAGATGTCTCCCAAATCTCTGATTAAATCAGAGTTGGAGACATTTGCACAAGGTACTGGTGAGTTGGAAAATAGTTGAAACACCCAAAGACAATTCCTGTTGGAGTTATTTGTTTGAACTTCCAAGGGGTCCTAACACAGATGTATCTGTTTCCAGACGAATCAGTTTAGAAGACCAGACCAATGTCTGTTTCAGTTCTGTAAATCAATTCTGCATAATTACTGTTAATGAAACTTTGTAACGGTTAACTCTGTACATTATGAAAAGCTTGTAAGATGGAAAATGCATTCAGCCTAAATAAGTGTTCCATGTCAAATGCTGAAGTTTAGACAGTTAAGTTATAGAAATTAATACATAGAGTTTTACGTGGATATGTATAGGAAACTGATAAATATTTGCATTGCTTTACTTTCCTAAAAGAGAACGTGTTATAATTGGTACAAAATGTGAACTTTTCTGTTTTAGATTGATATTTTATTTGCAAGATTGGCACTTCAGACAATCCCTGAAGATTTGGATCTTCGAGATGATGTACTACTTAAAAACTTGGACTTGAGATGCATTAGAAGTCTTAATGGTAAAGGACTTTCAATGTAAATGCATATTTGATAATCTGGGTGTGAAAAGTTGCTTTGCCATTCAGAAAATTCAGGGGCAGCATGGTGGCTCAGTGGTTACCACTGCTGCCTTGTCATACCAGGGACCCAGGTTTGATTCCACCCTTGGGCAACTGTCTGTGTGGAGTTTGCATATTGTCCCTGTGTCTGTGTGGGTTTCCTTCCAAAGATGTGCAAGTTCAGTGGATTAGCTGTGCTAAATTGCCCGTAAAGTTCAGGGATGTGTAGGTTGTGCGTTCCCCATGGAAAATGGGGTGTTACAGGGAAAGGATGGGGGAATGGGGATGGGTCTGGGTGGGATGCTGTTTGGAGGGTTGATGTGGACTTGGGCTGAATGGCCTGTTTTCATACTGTAGGGATCCTATGGAAAATAGGTATTGCTTAATGAGAGTAAATACCCAAGTTGTGCAAGGTGAGTGGAATTCAAGAGTGTTATCTATTTATCATATTTTGTTGAGGGACCATAAGAAATAGGCTGTTCAGCCCCTCGAGCCTGCTCTGCCATTCAATAGGATCATTGCTGATGGGACATTGCTTATGTCCGCGTTGCTACTCTTATTCCCCATTACCCTCTTTCTCCTACTGATCAAGAATCTATCTCTTGGCCTGTCCTAATGTAATAAAAACGGACTCATGTTAAGATTCAAGACCTTTAATCATTTATCACTTTCTTTCCTTGTTCTACAGAAAAAACCTAAGTTAGGATTTATAAAGGTTGTTAGCTGCATCCATGCACTGAATGTAATTGGGTCAATGCAGTCAATATCATAGAATCTCTACGGTGTGGAAAGAGGCTGTTTTGGCCTATCAAGTCTGTATCGACCCTCCAAAGAGCATCCCACCCAGACCCAGCCCACTACCCTATCCCCATAACCCCATATTTATCATGACTAATCCATGTCGCTTACACATCCTTCAGTACTACAGACAATTTCACCATGGCCAATCCACCTAATGTGCGCATTTTTTTTGGGACATTAATAGAGCAATAAAATGTTCCAAACCTAAGATTTTTTAAAATCTCACCTTAAGGCAGGTAGACTAAACAGCTGTTAGACTGTATGCTAAACTGAGCTGTGTTTCTTCCTGTTCAATAGGTTGCAGAGTCACTGATGAAATATTACATCTAGTACCAAACATTGAAAATTTTAGGCTGACATTGAGAGCAGTTAAATTATGGGCCAAACGTAAGTATGCACTCATCGTCTTAATTGCTTTGAGTGAAATTATTTGAAGTGATATCTGTTATAGAGACAGTGGCTACAATTTATTCAGCAATAGTGCGACTATATACAAGGTTGGCAGTGGCATCAAAGTGCAGCAACATTGCCATTACTTCCTGTAAGTAACTAGTTGCAGGTTATGCTGCAGATATTGTTGCATTCGTAAATGCAACATGTAATACCTGAACCATCTCTGCGCAAGAAATCCATTTTTACGCTTTGTTCCTACAGCAAATTGTGTAAACACCAATTTAACATGCTGCTACTTTGTTTTTAATTGGGTCATTCAAATAATAGCAAAGTCTTTTAACCATCTGTCTGAAGTAGGTTAAATTTCTTACAAAAAGAACTGTGGATGTTGGAAATATGAAACAAGACAGAAATTGTTGGGGAAGCTCAGCAGGTCTGGTAGCATCTGTGGAGAGAAAGCAGAATTAACACTTCAGGTCCAGTGATCCTCCTTCAAAACAGGGGTTCGGGGTCACTGGACTTCGCGTTAACTCCACAGAAGCTGCCAGTTTTACTAGCAATTTCTAACATCCTGATCTGTTCCTTGGCTGTTTTGACTCAGCTCTGTGTGCACCTGAGCTTTTGAAGTTCTGCTGAAGTGTGTTAATTATAGTTCTCACGCAGCGGGCCATGACCAATTTTATACACTTTTTGGATTTCTGCTGGCATTTGCCTGGTTGACGTTATCGTACCTTTCGAAGCCTTCAGGTTTATAGACGCTGCAGCTGGGGAAGAATTCCTTCCTGCAACGAGTCCTTCAACCTTGCATAATTGAGATCACCATTTTATTCTTGTCTCCAGAGAACACAGGCCCACTTTCTCTTCCCCCCGCCCCCCCCACCCCGGCTCCGTCCCCCTCTTCCCTCCCCCCGCAGCCTCGTAGGATTACCCTGCCATCTCAGGAATTAGTCTGCGTTTTGCTGTACTACCTCTATGACAAATATGTTCTTCCTAGGCCAACTGGGACCAGAGCTAGACACACCACTCCAGGTGTGGTCTCACCATTGTTCTATATGATTGAAGCATGACTTTGTTCCTGCACTGGAATCCTTTTTATGATTTGAAAGCAAGCATACCAATTATCTTCATTCCTTGCTGCACTTACATGCTGGTTTTTCAGTGAATTGTGAACAAGGTCATCTGGGTCCCTTTGCAATCAGTTTGCAATCTCTGTTCAATCAAATATTCAGTACTTCTTTCCTTCTGCCAAAGTGGGTAGCCTCACACTTACCCACATTATATTTGATCTGCCATGTTTTTGCCCATTTACTCACTTTGCCTAAATCACTTTGAAACACCCTTTACATTCCTTTCTCAGCTCTCATTCCTGCCAAGTTGTCACCTGTACACTTGGTAATATAATTGTTCTCCATATCTGAATCATTGATAAAAATTCAGAACCCATGCCGCATGCATTCTTAGGCTCCTTTCTTGAGGTAACACATTCTCAATCCATGCTAATATGTATTCACAATTCTGTGTGCTTTAATTTAAGAATCATCTACTCTCGCATGGGTCTTGATCAAAAGTAAATGCAATTTCACCACATCCACTGGTTCCTCCTAATTGACTCTACGAGTAACATCATCAAATTGTCATGGTTTTCCCTTCTTAAGTCAGTGACTCAGTCCAGTCAATTATTTTCTAAATGTCTAGTAATCACCTTATCATGCAAAGGCAGGTGTCAGTAGGGAAAAAAACTACAATCTAACAGGCCTGTAGTTCCCTGTTTTTCTAACTTTACTTCTTTTAAACAATGGTGTTATACTTGCACCCTTCCGGTTTGCAGACCCTTGTAGAATTAGTTACATTTTGAAATGTGAGCAACAATGTCCATAGTCATCTCTTTTCGGTGTTCTGGGATGGCAATTATCAGGTCCAGGGGATTTGTTAAATTTCAACCCCTATGATTTTGCCAATACTACTTTGACTGGAAGATGTGTGCCAGCAGGCCAGGATCCCTTGTGAACTAGACTGGGAGGGTGTTCAAGTTTTGAGAAGGGCAGCAGCGGTGGCAGATTTTTTAAAAAAAAAAGGCAACAAGCCCTTTTGACTTGTTCTCGCTGTTAGAGCTGGTGTTGTCATAGCAAACAGGTAGTTGATGTTCCTTCCGTGCCTCTCTTAGCCAAGAGGTTTAAATCAGGAAATTTTTTTATGGCCAAAGAGTATAGTTAGAAAATCTGTTTTAAGATGTAATATCCAAATTAAGTGGAATAGAGATAGCTGGGCATGCAATGTGTTGCAGCTGTAGTATGTGGCATCTGGTAGACTTAATCCAAAGTGAACATGCTTGCTGCATATTGGCTGCTAGGGGTCCTCATCTAAGAGTTGATGAGCTGGAGTCTGAGCTCTCGATACTGTGACGTCAGGGAAACGATCAGACTGTAAAATGTAAGAGCAAAAGTAGACCATTGAGCATTGACTCTGCTTCAACATTCAATGAGATCATGGCGGATCTGATAATCCTCAATTCCATTTGCATGCCTATTCCCTTACTGATTTAAACACCTGCCAATTCAGCATTGAGTATACTTGATGACCAAACCTCGACCGTCCTATGTGGAAAGATTTCCATAGATTCATGATTGTGTCTGAGAGAAAAGAATCCTCTCCATCTCTGTCTTGATGCGCCGCCCCTTGCTCTGAGATTATGCTGTCTGGTCCTAGACTGCCCCACAAGGAGAATCGGCATCAATTATGAAGAAGAGCTGTACCAGACATGAAACATTAAACTTGTTTTCTTCATAGATGCTGCTACAAAGGGTTTCTCCAGTATTCTCTCAGGTTGACTGATTCGGCAAAATCATGGAAAGTAGAGTTTAATATAGGAAAGTGTAAGGTCATTTTGGTTGGAAGAATCAAAAAGGTTATGATTTAAATAGAAATTTCAGATGGTGCAGCTCAGGGGGAACCTGGGTGTTTGTGTGAATGGAACACAGCATTAAGAAAGCAAATGGAATTTTGGCCTTTATTGCGAGGAGTTGACAAGTAGCTAAGTCTTGTTAGAATGGTACAAGGTGTTGGTGAGGCCACACCTGGAATATTTTGTACACTTTTTGGCCCCTGTATTTGAGAGAGAGTATGCTAACATTGGAGACAGTTCAAAAGAGCTTCACTAAGCTGATTCTGGCGTGACTTGCCAAGAGTAGCAAAAGAAATTTAAGCCTTTGTTCATTTAGCATTTAGAAGAACAAGGCTGATCTTACTGAAACATAGAAGATTTTGAGGGGGCTTGACAGGGTAGATGATGTTTCCACTAGTGGAGGATTCTCTAACTAGGGGACATTCACTTAAAGCAATGCTCACAGGGTAGCGACTGTTTGGAATTTCACAACAGAGTTGTGGCAGTTAGGTCATTGGAAGTATCAAGAGGAGGTTGTTTAGATTTTAAGTACTGGAGTTGAAAGCTATGAGGAGTTGGCATGAATGGAGTTGAGGCCAGGTACAGTTTAGCAGCAATGTTATAAAATGTTGGGACAGGCTTGAAGGGATAAATAAAGGAACAAAAACAGGTTGCTGGAAAAGCTCAGCATTTCCAGCAACCTCTGTTTTTGTTCCTGATTTATAGCATCTGCAGTTCTTTTCGGTTGAAGGGATGAATGTTCTACTCCTATTTCTTGAAGAATATTATTTTCTTGCACTTCCAGACTCTTAGTCCACCTTTTGGATCTTTTATTTCTGAGCGAATTATTATTTTCCCTCTTTATGATCCCTGCTGATAATACTGAACAAATTAGATCTGAGTGAAATATAGCTTGATATGTCATATGTTTAATATTTTAACAAACATTTTATACAAACATAACTTGTTTCCCAATGCTTAACTCCAGACCAGTCCCACTCCTATCTTACCTTTTAAACCTTAAATAATGCTTTCCAGTTTCCTCCCCAGGAATTGCTGAGACATTTGTCTCTGATAATTGTGAGGACCTAACCTTTCTCATTTCTGCACAAGGTCCGACAGCTATGAAAATTAGAAACTGTTTCTGCTATAGAGACTGCTTCCCTTGCATTGAAATGGAAAACATTCTCTTGCAAGGGGAAAACATCTGTTCTGTTTTGAACTGAACTTTGTGATCTTCTACTGAACTTGAACCTTCTGTTCTGAAGTTAAAACTAAACCAGTTGCCTTAATTTGTTTGCTCTGTTTATTACAAGCAGAACAAAATAAACATTTTATCCATTAACACTGCAGACATTCTCCCATAGTTGAATGAAATCGCATGACTTAGGAATAACATATATTTAGGTCCCTGTCCAAATGTTCACCTTTTTTTAAAAATAATACCTTCCCAGGATTAAGTAAAATATATCTTTTTGGCATTTGGATTTAAAATACTGTACATCTTTCATCACAACAGACACAAAATACTTAACGTTTTTTTGTCATTTCACTATTTCCCTTTGTAAACTCTTTTCTGTCTGTATTGGTTAAACTTGGGTTGTTTTCTCAAGAGCAGGGAAGAAACTACACTAATCCCATATACTTGCACTTGGTTCATAGCCTATTATGCCCTGGCATTTTAAGCGTGCATCCAGATGCTACTTAAATGTTGCGAGAGTACCTGCTTCCACCACCCCCTCAGGCAGCATGTTCCATATTTTCACCACGCTTGGGATGAAAAAAATTTCCTCAGACCTCTAAGCCGTTTACTCCTCAGTTTAAACTTGTGCCTTCTGGTCAGGGTGGTGGGAATCTGGAATGCACTGCCTGGGAGGAAGTTAAGGCTGGAAACCTCAACCTAAAAAAACACTTGGCCTTGAATGTTGTTATATTTTAAGTGCTTATGTGCCGAGTGCTCGAAAGTGGGACTGGAGTAGATTGAGTAGTTTCTGTCAGCGCAGACTGATGGGCCAAATAGCATCCTCCATATTATATGATTCTATGCTTATATTGGACCCATGTTTGTCTTTGCTAATCTTTTCCATTTTAGATAGCTACAGAAATTTTTAAT